GGCGGGAAGGGCCAAACCCGGGGGAAACGCCAAAACAAGGAAAGAGGGCAAATTCCCCCGCCGGGGGCCTTTGGAATAAACCGCGGGGGAACGCCCCCCCCTTGAAACCCGGTTTCGGGGGAGGGGGGGGGAACCCCCCCCCCCCCCCCCGCTCCCTGGTGCCCCCAAGCGACGTGGCAGGCAATCAGGAGCAAGCAACTTCTAGTGAATCCCAAAGGAGGGTGGTCGTTGCTCCACAGCACAAAGGCAACTGAGCACCGTTCCCTACTGGCCTGGTACATACAGCAACAGATTCACGCCCGCTTCACACCTTCGGAAGGAGGAGCTATCCTCGCCATCAAACACAAGCTAGGGACAAACAAGCCAACCGATGAACTGCTGGGTTCTCTCCGGGAAGCACGCACGGGCCAAGGCCAACTCAACACGAACCAAACCAAGCCACATGCACAGCCACACAACAAAAAAACGTGCGAGGCTGGAAATCATTGGCAAGACCGCCGTAGCACACGTTTCAACAGCATCATGCCCCAAGCACGGGTCCCACGACAACCGCGAAAAAGTACATTTTACATACCTTCGGCAGAAGGTGGACTATCCTCGTACCCGTACTCCGGCTCAGGCTCCTTGGACAGGACGGTGAAGCTCTGCACCGGATGCGCCAGGGAGTAGGGTCTGAGGTAGTCCATGCATATCCTGGAGAGCAAGGACGAGACAGAGCCATGAAAAGGCCCAGAGGAGGAGACACAAACATATCCAAGTCCGACAGGAAAAGGAAAGGAGCAGAGACGGACAGACGAGTGAAGGATCTGGTGAACGGAGCGAGACTTTGAGTGTCTCTGCGGGTATGCATACCATGGGGGGAAATCTACTTCCAACCACAGGACTCGAGGTGCAGAACACCTGAGTACTGAAAAGAACAAATCTCTCTCTCTTGTCTCTCTCTCTCTCTCTCTCTCTCTCTCTCTCTCTCTACCTCTCTCTTCCTCTTATCCCTGTTATTCTTCCTCTTCTTCAATCTCGCTGTCTACAGATTTCTCCAGATTCGACGTGGGGGTGCTTAGGCATAGAGAGAAGTCCAAAACCAGGGGAAAAAAACTCATCAACATCGAATCCCCATCACACCATCTCTCGCCACCGAATATCTCCCTCCCCCCCCTCCTTAGCAGGATGCAGCGCACCCTTCATGCGACTCGCCGAATACCTCACGGCGCTTCGCGCTTGGTGATGTGAGAACCTGGTCCGGTGACGGTGAGAACCCGGCGTGCTCCGTCCCGGCTTTGTAGGGATGCGAGGTCAATGGTCAAACGACTACGGCATGCACGACTATGGGTACACCCCCCCCCCCCCCCTCCTTTCTCACCCCTTCTGGCCGCCCTGCGCCAAGTGGAGAGCATACAGGAGACCCTCCCCCGTGTCTGCCGCAAACACGAACTCCCCTCCGGGATCCACTTCCAGCGACAGCGCTCCCCGCCCGGGAAGCGATAGCACCTGCGAAGGAAGCACGCCTTCCAGAGCTCCTGCCCCCGCTCCCGCTCCGCCGTTCCATTCGGGCGCCGGCCACACCTTTTGCGCAGCGCACGAGGCAGAACGGGAGCCAAGAGGGGAGGGGATAGGACTGTTGTTATGAAGGGCTGGGTCGACTCTCTTTGAAGCGGTTGGTGGTATTACCGCTGTGCCCCCATGATGAGGGCGTGAGGGCAGGCCGGCAATGGGCGTCGCGGAGGGGGACAGCAACAAGGAGGATAAAAAAGATACGATGGCAGGTACCACATTGAGAGAGGACACGCCACCTTTGCCTCTGTCTCTGTCTCCGTCTCCGGCTCTCTCTCTCTCTCTCTCTGAGAAGTGTTTATCCAACACCCAAGACTCCGACTACCCTCAACAAAGACTCGACACAACAAGAGGGCACACAGACAAACCTTCCTCAGCGTTTGCTTCGTTTCTCCCGGCAGTCCTCCGAACCGCAACCACACCAAGCTTGCGAAATAAAACCGCAAAGTGCTTACATAAAACCGCAAAGTGCTTACAGTTTGACCTCACCGCCTCCCGGCAACAACCACAGAATCGATCCGCGTACTCAAGCCCGACAAGAAAGCACGTTGCATGATGTCGGGCTCTGCATCACCTTGAGGAGGCGGTTGTCTTCATCGCCGGTCACTAGCGCCATGTCCGAGTCCACCACGAGAACCCGGCTCAGCGTCGAGCCTTCGGGCGCCGCTCGAAAGGCACGCAGGCAGGCGATCGACTGAGGGGAGGGCGTGGCCTCCAGGAGGGCCGACCTGGTGTCCCAGACCCTGACAGTCCCGTCCTCGGAGGCGGTGGCCAAGACGTCCCCGTTCCCCCTTGAGAAGGAGGCGTTAGTGATCTGCTTACGGGGAGGGGACGGGGGTGGGGAGGCATTAGCGATCTGCTCTCAGGGTGGGGTGCGGGCGGGGGATTACTCATTTCTTTCATGCCGTTGTACCACGCGTCACCCCTTTCGAGACGGGCCGGGGGCGGCCGGGGGCGGGGAGTTACTCGTTTTCACCGTGCCGAAGGCGTTGCCGATGTACGACGCGCCCCTTTCGAGACGGGCCACCACCGTCTCAACGACACACGTCTGTTTCGCAGTCGGCGCTCTTGCGTTTCTGCCGGATGCTCAATTGCAAAATTCTGCTCAAAAATCTTTCCCAATTTCATTATTGGGCGTTTTGTGGTGAGCGAATATCTCTCGTACTACATGCGATCGATCGTTTTCTCACCGTTGGCTGATGAACAGCATTCAACCAACCATACCCGATCACATCCATTTTTTTTTTTTCCTCACGTGTCTATCAGGGCGGCGGGGGGTAGATACAAATTGCTGATAATCACGATGTAAGATTCAGATTTGGTTCCATCTCCCCAATGAAATGAGTCAAAAAAAGAAAAACGGCGTCTGCATTTTCCGACCACCCCCCTCGCCCATTGTTCTCGTCAGCGGGTGCCCTTCAAGATCGCCACGGGTCCGGGAAAAACCGGCGTAACACAAAGGAGAGGGTAGGCCCTCAAGCCTCAACATTGGTAGGCAGAAGCCTTTGCGACATTGACGACACACGCAGAGAACGACGCGCTATGCTACAACAAGCACATGAGGCTGAAGTGGAACGTCAACGTCACCGTGGCCGGGCGTACGTACACCCATGCCTTGCTTCCCATATTACTCCGTCCAAAACGGTCAAAGACTTCACGCTGGTCACCCCCCCCCCCGCCGGGAGTGGGACGGTTAGCACAGAAAGTATTTCATACGATTATGGAGCGCACAAGTTCAAGTTAGCCCAGACGGTATTACGTGGCATCAGGTAAAATGTTGCAAAAGATCTCCCCTGCCCTCTTTATCGGGGTTCGCCCAACCATCACCAAATCCATGCCGCACTCGAGACGGTCTGTGGCGTACACAAGAATCCTCAGGTGGCACAGCAGCGCCGTTTATTGCTGTCGAGTCGGCGGGGCCCCGGTCATCCCACCTGCTTGTAGTGACCCTTGCAAACAGCTCCGGGAAGGTGTGTCGATTGGTCCTGCTGGCCGATGAAGTCGCGGATCACAACCTGCCGGCGCGACGAGCAGTAAAGGGAGATGAACGGAGATCTTAAGAGACCAAACGTCTGACTGCCTTTCGTGGCCGTGTGTCGAACGCCAGCATTTAGAGGCAGGGAAAGGAGGCGAACGGAGATCATAGGCCAAGGTCTTCTTTTCGTGACGAGCATACCGTAGGGGAGCCTTGCAAAGGAAGATGGAGTCAAAGGATATCGAACGGAGATCGTAGATCACAGTTCGCCTTCTGTGATAAGTGTTGCTGTGAGTCGCGACATGTATAACCCCCATGGATCAAAACGCAGACGGCAGGATTGTCAAGGGAACAAACAGAAGAAAAACAAGTATCCCACCAACAACTCCTACTTTTTGTTTGAGTAAAAGGCCACCAGCATGCAGCCGTGGCGCTTGCATCTGTCTCATTTTTTCCGTTCTTGACGGGTGGCAGCAGCAAGTCATAACGCCGGCAACAAGTACAGACTGACGAAGCAGCGACGACGATGACGGGTGGTTGAGCAACAACCTACAGTCGGGAGCCCTCTGTAGTGCGGGTTATATAGTGCGTGTGCCCGGTATAGTGCGAGTGAAAGCGCTTGGGACATATCCGCACTATAGAGGGCACCAGACTGCTGTGGCGCGGGAAAAGCAACAAGAAAAATCGAATGGCGCCCAAAGCCATTTTTGGTTGCTTGATTGGAGAAACAACTTTTCAGCCGTGCACGAGCAACGCCTCACACCCGTCGTCGAAACCCTGTAACCGATCGGGCAAATCGGCGCTTGGAAGTTTTGGAGACGCTACGAGACACACCCGCAAATGTTTTCGCCATAGGGCAGTTGTTGTGGGAGGCGAAAAAAGCGGGGTCAAAGATGGCTAGAACATGACAGCCGCTGAAATGTTTCACGTGGGCTACACTAGGGTGTAATGTTAAGGGGTTTCAGGGTGTGGATTTGGGCACGGGTTCTGTACTACAAACGGCTGTCGACATCACAGTTTGCACGTCATTGAGATTGTGACACGTACCCCCGTCCGGGAAGAGACGAAACATTGAGACCCGTTACGGTGGCGAAAATTGTTTCGGCAAAAGACAAAAAAAAAGTACGGGCGTTTCATTGCGACCAAAAAGAAAAAACAAACTACTGCTGTATTGTAACATATGGTGGCGACAACTGCTCTAGGCTCTCACCAATGACCCCGAGACGACGGCAAGCATCCTCATACCGGAGGTGTGCCAGGCCACGCTGCAACCAGGGTAGAACGACGGTCGCACAGCAACGTCAAACAGAGGGGGGGGTGGGGGGGGGGGCGTACTCTTATGTTTTGCATGCCTTAGCGGTTTGACCATTGACGGAGCATTGTTCCCACAGGACCGATCACCGATGGCCAATCGTTCCTTCCTACTTTGCCAAAGGTGGCTCAAAAAATGTCTTCCCTAGTTTGTCTATCCTAACGATATCCCGCCTTTTCAAACCACTTCCTACTCCCCAGTACAGCTACCGTCCTCTCCTCTCTATTCCATGCCTCAAACATCTCTCTGTACCTCCCTTGTATTTTTCCCAGCTCAGTCATGTACACTTCCCTCTCCTCTTCGTACCACGACCATTTCCGCGACTACATGAACTCGGTCTTCGCATTCGAAGCCGCAATCACATTTGAACTCGTCGTCTTCGTCGTCTACCGTCCTATGTCTTCGTCGACGTTCTCGAAGGCCTATGTCCCCGGACCTGAATTTGACCTTTGAGCTTTGTCCCTGCATCCATTGGTCCATGTAGGTAGTCCTTGAACCCTATTCCTTCTTTCAACATTCCGTACACTTCTAGACCCTCCTTATCCTCGGCTTTTTCCCTTACATTCTGTTCTTCTCTCTCGACACAAGCAACAGATATCTTCTCCTTGAACCCCTGTAGACCCTCCGTTTCCTGCGTTTCATCTTCGTCGATGTCTAACCCCTTGCATACATCCTCTACAACCTTGAGCCATTCCGTGGGGTGTCTACCCCTCTTTTTGTTTGCCCACTTCGCCTCCCATACTATTCTCGGCAACCTCCCCACTCCCATCCCGCACATGCGATACTGCCATGTCAGCTTCCTTACGTCTCTTCCCGACCGTAGGGATTGGATCCCCAATCCTGCCCTTACGGCTGCATTACTTGTGCGCTTGGAGCATCCTAGGATGAATTTCGCTGCTTTCATCTGCGCCGCCTCGAGTTCTTTCACTACCTTCTTATTTCTTTCCCATACTTCGCCGGCGTACTCTAGCGGCGGTACAATTACGCTCTTCAAAACCGTCAATTTGACGCGTGTATCGAGGTGCCAGTTTGCGAGTATTGGGTGCAGCTTCCCTGCTCGTGCTTTGCCTCTTTTCCGCTACCTTGGGCATGTGTGCATTCCACGAGCAGTCTTTTGCGATCTCTACTCCGAGGTATGTGTACTGGTCCACTACTGCAATCTCCTCGATCCCCCACTTCCATCTATATTCTACTGGTTCCTCCCTGTCCTCGTTGCATACCATGATGGCACTCTTCTTAACATTGGCAGACAATCTACACTTCTCAGTAAACTTCTTCGCCGCGTCAATTTGCAGTTGCAGTCCCTCAGGGGTGTCCGACATACCAACAAAACCATCCACCATCAACATTCCTGACACCGAAGTTTCCGTGTCTCCTACTTTTACTCCCTTCCGGACTGCCTCTACGACTTTCAACAGATCGTTGATGAAGACCTGTAACAATGTCGGGGACAGCGTGCAACCTTGTGGGATCCCTTGCTCAATGTCGAAGAACTTAGACAGTTCTCCGTCTAGCATGACCGCGCTTTTCGTACACTCTGTCATCTTCTTCAGCACTCTCCACATTTTCCCCTTGATCCTGTACTTACACAATTGTTTCCACAGTCCATTTCTCCATACCGTGTCGTATGCCTTTTTCACGTCCAGGAAGAAGCAGTACGTCGGCTTTCCCGCCCTCTTTCTACCTTGGATGATTCTCCCTACCGTGAATGCGTGGTCTACGCACCCCCTCTTCTTTCGGAAACCTGCCTGGCCCTCACTAATGCTATGTTCCTTCTCCAATACTCCCACTATCCTATCGTTCAGCAGCTTACAGAACGCTTTTCCTACTGTGTTCAACAGTGTGAACGTTTGTCCAACAATTCCTTACTGCTTTGTACTCGCCTCTCTCCAATCGAAAACAATGCATTGTGCGTGCCGCACATCTAGCTCCGCCGTTTTTGCGTGGTTGATCAGGTCGTTCGGCTTGCTCGACGAGGGGGGGTGGGGGGGGCGTTACTAGTGTTTTGCAGCTTTAGCGGTTAGACCGTTGACCACGTGTCCTCAAAAGGGCGGAGCACTGCTGTTCGCACAGCACCGATCACCCAATGGCTAACCGTTCCTTCCTACTTCGAAAAGAGGGGGGCGGGGGGCGTACTCTTATGTTTCCAAGCCTTAGCTGTTAGACCGTTCACCACGCGTCCTCGAGAGGACGGAACACTGTTCCCACAGGACGGGGTCGCCAATGACTAATAGTCCATTACTACGTTGTGTGTGTGTGATGAAAAACACGCCCACCCAAACAGCGTGTCGTGTGTCCGGTGTCATGCCGTGTGATACCAACGCTCACGACGTCGAACATTCATACTTCGGCCGTGAGGGACAGGGGGGGGGCATGGCGGCGTAGTTCTCTCAAAATCAAACTTTCTATCATCTCGTAACCGGTATCACAAGCCTCTCGATCGCTCTAGATGGCAGGAAAAACTCAGCCCAGGACACATAAAAAAAGCCTATCCCACTGCCTCACCCCAACCACGTGCGTCACAACTTCTAGGAGGCGCTCACAAAAAAAACGCCCGAACATCTTCCCTAGAACCACACCTCTGGGCGCCGCCTCCCCTGGACTCCGCAACCAGCTGGGTCGACACCTCCACCGTCTTGTCCGCGGAGGCTGCTGCCCCAACGCCCGGCGCGCTCGCCCGCAACCCCAACTCCCATATCAGCACATCGCCCTCGGACGTGGCGCAAGCCAGGAGGCCAGAAGACGTGTTCGCCGTCGCAGTGCCCGTCGTCCCCAAGAGGCATATGTCCTGCGTGCGTGTGTTTCGTCAACATTAGAATACTAGAATATTAGAATGTTAGCATCGACCGACCGCGCTAACCGGCTGACCAATGAAAGACGTCAGTCTCAGTGCGGTTGGAATTGTTGTTGTCTTCACATTGAATAGAAAACGTAAAATTCTTCTAAAGGCCACGATCTGGGACCCAGTGAGGGGGCGTCCTGTGTGTGCGTCTTTGTGGTTAGCATCCGCCGCGCTACATACAGTACAATCGCTTAACCAACGTCAGGGCTACGTGCGCGCGCGCGCGTGTGTTTCTTGAGAAAAGCATAAACCGCGTCTTGATAAGACCCACAAACCTGAGGAACGGCGTTTCCCAAGCGCGGCGGCGGCTTGATGAGGGCTCTCGCTCCGGTAGGCCTGTGGATCACTCGGATGTTGCTCGAGATGCCGTAGCACGTGAAGTCGGCGTTCGCGACGACGAGGGCGCCCTGCTTGCACAGACCTCTCCGACGGCTGACCTCGGGCAGCGTCGTCACCGTCGTGCACTGAAGCCAACGACAAACGACAAAAGTTTCACAAGAACAAGAGGTTCCCGAGTCTGACGTTGACCCGACTCGGTCGATTCAAGGGGAAAAGCGAGCGGCATCCTCTCGCTGGCAGCAGGACAGATTTCCGGCTTGGTGGTGCGCGATTGCTACCAGGCGCGTGATACGGTCATGCCGAGGCCGGCCAATGACTCGATAACGCACACGACAAAATATCACCGCGCGGATCGTTGACTTTGCCTCTTGTTCGGTTACTGACGGGAACCACGGGGCTTGCAAGGAAAGGTCGTCTTGTGAGTGTGGGGGGTATCGCAAACCAAGATCGCCCCAGGGCGACGCCTGCTATTTTGGCAACCTTCGAGAGTTTTCGCTACTATCTTACGATTGTACCATTGGTTCTTGCCTGCGTGCCTCAACAGGAGCGTCAACCCACAACACAAGACGAAACAATTGTCGCAAAACGCTGGCCACCACCCACACCCCACGTGGCCCTTGCCTGGCCCTCAAGGGTATACAATACACCACCGTTCTTCATCATCAGCCTCTCCCGAACCTTGCCATTCAACATCCCTAAACCCGACGCCGCCCTTTCACGGCAGCCTGTACACAGTACCTCCCGCCTCCTTCTCTTCTCCGTCGACGAAAAAAAAAGACGCACCTGTGGGTTTCCAAAGCGACTCCTGTCGTTCTCCGGATCGTACGTCACCGCCGCCCCCGTCAGAGGAACGCCGAACGCGCCATCGGCACGCCCCCCGCCACCGCCACCCCCGTCTGCGGTGCCGTTGCCACGGTGATCTGCGGAGCCCCCAGCGGCGGAGGCGGCGGCGGCGCTTGGTGGGGCGTCGCCCGCGGCCGCGCCCCCTCCCGTGAGCTGCGCAAAGAACGCGTTGAAGGCCGACATTCTTGTGGTGGTGGCTGGCCTCTCCTTCCTGTTGCCTCTGAATCTGTGTCTCTCTCTTGTCTTGTCCTGTCTTGTCTAGACTAAGCTGGTCGTCTCCCCGGCTGCTGCTGGTTCGTTCTGGACTGATCGACCGCCTGTTCCGCGTGTTTCCCGGAGGATGGTTGGTGTGGCGACGCGGACGTGGGGTCGACAATTGTAGGGGATAGATTTAGAACCGAGGCATCGCAGTTGCGGCGGTGTGGGGGGGGTCGAACACTGCTGTGGCATAAGACACCATCGAGTTATCATGAAACACTCGGGCCCACTTATGGGTTAGTCTACGTAGGAGTAAGGAATACCAACATCACAGGGCGTGGTAAAAGTGGTGTCCGGCCTGAAGAAACGCCGGAAAATCCAGCCATGGGCACTTGACCACAGTGGCAGTTCACAGCCCTAGACAACTTTCGGGGTCCACTTGTTCACGCCTTGCCTAAATTACGGGCAACATATATACACAATGTCTCTCCGTGTCTCGCTGTATTGGTGTGAGTCTCCGAACCCTTCTTCAGCCCAAATGGCGGCAAGTGACTTGGTAGAGGGGGGGGCGATAGACCGTGTGTGGGTGCGTGAAAGGCGTGTTGTGGGGGGGGGGGGGAGGGGGCAGCAGCCGTGTACCCCGGAACATTCAAGCGAAGATAAACACAACATAATACACACACGCATGTGTGCTATCATATGCATACACGTGTGCTCTTAGCGCAGGGATGCGGTCGAACCGATGGCGTTGACACGTTGACACGACAAAATTACTAAATTACAAATTACACCAAATATACCGTAGAGCAGACAAGACTCTGATGGTTCTCCATCCACGTGCTGGCGCTATAGCTGAATACAGAATACACGAAATCGGCCAGGAAGGATATATTCTCACTCGACTTCCGCCGTGCTCATCGGGGCCCAAAAAGCTGTAATCTACGGCGAACGACAGCAACATGTTTGTCGATGCAGGGCGTGTGTGAGAGGCAGAGGGATCCCGCGAAAGTCTATCTACAAACTCAGTGCAAATTTAATTGCCAAAATTGATCGGTGAGCAAAATCCACAAGCGCTTGCAGCAGCAGCGCCAGCGTCCATCTCATCAAATACCACAACAACCCAACGAAGGACTGCGCCAGACGAAAACCGACAACGTAGAGAGCATGGCTGCGCTCTCTATGGACGGCGGATCCATGACTGCCAGCTGGTGGGTTGCGTGTGTTGGTGTAAAGCAAGCACACCTTCGCCACCCCATCAACCCTCGTTTTCGTTTTACGAATTCGTCATCAGGTTCATCATAATTACGATCACACTAAATATCGAGGAGAGCTCGTGTCCACACCCACCTGCCGGTCCTGCCTGCTGTCGTGTGTCTGCGCTGTCGATGCAAACAGGACGCAAAAACAATTAGTACGCCCGAGCAGTGCCCGCCCCCCTCTCAGAACGTACTTCTTGCACAAGGTAGGGTATGAGGCTGCGGCCTGTTTGCCCCCATGTGCGGGGCCACCTTCGGAAAGACAGGAAGACACAACAGGTCAAAGGTGTGCCACGTCCCGTGCACCCGAGTCAACTGCACGAGAGAGGTGAGAGCTCGGTAATTCGAAGGGTCACACAGGAAGGCTGGAACCATGAGCATAGATGTGGCACGCGGCCGGCTCCTGTTGATCTGTCTCTGAGTCTAATCTGGCTCCGAAACTCCAGGAGGTCGCAGCGGCCGAACCTTTTTCCCTCTCGCCCCTGCTGGTCTCGAATTCGTACAATTGCACAATTGACAATTGACTGCTGTTCACCATTAGCGAGACTGCTTGTTTCTCGGGGCCCTCCCGGCCATGATGTGGAGCCATAACGTCCAACCCAGTGTCTCGGTGCTTAATATGCCGTGCTCAGTTGAATGGCGGCTGGCCGCCAACGAGCTGGTATTTAGAAGTGACTGACAAGGAAAAGTTTGTTTTGCGGCGGCTCTTCTTCACCTCCTGTACAACGACGAAGCTGGTCTTCAGCACTGCTGTAGACTACCCTGAGATCGACGAGCGGAGCCCGCTCTCTCCTGAACCCCACGCGTCAGCTTGTGTGTGCTAGCGGTACAAATTAAGCAGTACTGTTGTTGTCAAGGAAATCATAGCACTCACATCCGAGGTGCGGCCCGATTGTCGCCGCCTCTCCTCACACGACATGCGGCTGCACGCTTAGACTTCACAACTAGCCACGGCCTTGCCATCGGCTGTTGGACGCAATGTCGAAGGGCCTCCTTCTTCCCCTTACGACTTAGCTGGTTCTGTATAATCTGCATATGCATATTGCGGTCCACCCTCTCTATGGAAACAAATTGGACTATACTCTTCTGCCCTCCACGCCGGAGGACGTCTGACGAACACGCTCTGAGAGCATTAGTACGTACCAATTTTTCAACCGCACTTCCGCCAACACATCTCGCTCCCGCCGACTTGTCAGAAGCGAGGTGCTGGGAGCAGCGGCAGCAACAGAAACGCCAGCGATAGGATGGCCTTCCCGACACCAGTATTAAGCGGCACCTTGGGGTTCTTCTTCGGGTGCCTCTTCTTGCTAGGGATTATGAAGGCTGGCCAGGTGGGAGGGTGTAACGGTCTTGGTACAACAGCAGGAGCAGCACACCTGGTTAACTTTTGGTACAGGAATATCACCTGGTTAACTTCTGTAGAGCCGGGTGTCCTTGTTGCTAGTTAGCCATTCATACGTCTGCGTTGGCTTGTGGTGAACCTCTCCGATTCGCCTGGCGTTATCGTGTATGCATCTCATTTGGCAAACTTCTCCGAGGTGGTGCCACGAAGTCGTCAAGGGTCAAGGTGGCGATAGCCGGTGCTGTTGCGGCGTTCAGGGGAGCGCACACACCCCGAACAGAATACTGCAGCGGGACGACTGCGTTACTTTGCCGGTTGCTACAAGTACACCGAAGTGCTACCCACTTGTCCTGCCACAACGTCTGTTGGCAGTTTGGCCTCGAACGCAAAATAATCTTCAGCTGTTTTTTGTTTTTCACGACAAAACTGGCTGGACCGGCGCTTGGTCACAGCACCGAAAGCACTAAAAGAAACAAACTCCTGAAGCGGCATGGTCGTTTCAGAGGCAGGCGCAGAAAAAATCGTGTTTTTGTCCTCCGTCTTTTAGATTCTCCTGCTGCGTTTATTTTCTCTATTTCCACGTATGGTAGACGTTGTCCTCACTTACCCTGTCCTCCCCTTCCCGAATGACATTGACACGCCCATGCGACCACTTCGATGCGGGAATTTTGCGCGAACGGCAACACCAGCTCTCTGGCAGTTTGTCCAAGGATAACACGGGGATTGGCTTCACGGTGGTCATCACGTCCGCCTTCTCCATGTGGTTGCTTTGGTGAGATGTGTGACCAATCGTGGCCATGGGGCAGACAGCCAGTAGACGGTACAACTGACGCGGAGTTGGGGTATGGGGTCGCTGCCCAAAACCGTTGTACATGTGCAGAAAAGGGAGAAAAGGCCCGAACCCATTATTTCCGCGTGTTGCTCAGTTGCTTGTCACGCAAACTAATGCATACTCGAAAAACATTTGTGTGTTGTTGCCTTCGTGCAGTGACTGCCCAACCACCAGCGCCAATACTTGTGTTTGGCAAGGCTCGCCCGACGTTCCTCTCTCTCTCTGTCACCTAGTCGCTTGCTGTCTTTGGTCGCCCTTTGGTCCTTACACGTGCCGTTGCCTGCGGTCCTGCTTGTGGTTGTCTACATGTACAGGGCCATGGCATGGTTCCACCAATGGCATCCCTTGATCACACCAGAGTTCCCGTGAGGACGCTCCGCCAGACCAATCGCATACCAGTGTATGGACGACGTGACGTGAACAACCAGCGGGGCGTACGAGTGCGGCCATCAATCCTGGCAGCAGCAGGGGACGTTGTTTCTGCCGCTACACTGCTTCGTTTTTTTTTTTCGTTTTTGGTCCGCACTACGTTGTAGACACACGACGATAGCGGTGGGTGGCGAATGGGCAATCGGAGGCGGACTATTCGAAGCACGTGCGTGCGCTCTTTTTTGCCGCATGGGAGGCCTGGTTTCTTTCTGTCGATAGTTGGATCGGGAGATCAGTCAGTCAATGGCGGGAGATGACACAACCAGTGAAGTTCTTCCCATTCCCCCCCCCAAATGCCGTGAAGAAGCTGAACGAAAACCTTGGTTTTCTCCGCTGCGGCAATGGCTGGTGGTGGTGGTTTGCCAGGAGGGAGAGAAAACGCTCATCCACTTGACCGGGTTTTATCACCAACAAAAGCGCTTGCGCGCCGGCGGCGAAACGAAAGACCTCGGGCTTCCGACGCGTCACGTGTGTTCCGGCGTGTGTGCTTGTGGCCCGGAGGTTGTGCTGTCCTTCGCAATCATGTCAGTTTTGCTCGTTTTTTGTTTCGGTACCCCATCTACCCGGGGTACATGTTGTTCTTAGGAGCTTGTTTCGTATCGGCAAGCAGTAGCAGATATTCGACCTGTAGCGTTGGGGAATAGGGAGAGGGGAGGGGGGGGGGGTTACGTGTATCTCTATAGCGGGACGCAGCAATTCAAAGCGCGAGAAGAACTGCAGGCGCCATCCCCGGCGCGAAAAGCAATCGATGCCCTCCTTGCAAAGGGTCCAACTTTGGTGTAGAATTTATTCACTCGGCATACTCGAATGCAACTGTCGACAACACGCTCCAGAGCGACGCGCAAGTGTACATTTATCATCGCGCAAGGCCATCAACCGTCGTGGGGGCGCATCTTGGTATTGTAGTGTCCCGTGCACCGCACGTGGCAACAAGTCAAGTGACCACCGGACCCGGCGAAACATGGAAAGTTCATCGGCAACCCGTGTAGAAAAAATGGTTCCGAGGAAGCAATTCGCTGGCCTAATAGCTCTATTCGATGTCTTCTGCTATTGTACGCCCTTTGAAAAGCACCAACACACGGAAGGAGCCCCCCATGTGACAAGGCAAAACATATCACCGGGAGATCTGGGTTTAGGTTTGAACGCGTGGAGCCCAGCAGACCAATACGCAGCATAACCCTTCGACTGTGATAAATTCATTTACAGCCCAAACGGGTCGGGATGATGGCCAATGAAGCCTCGTCCGGGTTGACCACGCACTGCTGCTGTAAGTGGCATGGGGCTCCTGGGAATCGGGAAGACGGAGCCACAAGCACTCAAAGTCAACAGGCTGCCTGCTTGAGGAGCAGGCCATGTCGCGAATTTCGCCGCAGCACTCTCAAGGAAAACACACGAGACAAAGGAACAACACCGCGAAACGCTGGAACAGCCGTCACCCTCCACTACAATTCCACATCTATCTCCGTCTGCTGCTGCTGTTTCTGCTGCCCCCCATACCGGGGCGATCTGTTCCGGATCCTATGTCTCCCTGTCTCTCCAGACGCTGAACCACCGACTACTTCTCTCGTCGCCGCTGCAGCCGCCGCGATCGCGCTAGAAACGTCTCGGCTATCCAGCAGCCCCACCGACGTGTTGGACTCTGGTGCTTTGGGCGCTGGCCTTCCCGCCGCCGAAAATGCCCCGGTCGGTGGGGAGCGGCTGCGAATAGAACCTCCGCCTCCGACTCCGGCGGGCACCCCAGCCCCCACGCCCCCTCCGCTGCCGCAGTCCTCGATGACCTTGAAGCTTGCTGACCCTTCCGGAGTTCGCATCAACAACGACGGCTGTGCTTCCCGTAGGGAACCCGAAGAATCTCCCCGACTACTAATCCTGGTGCCCCCCCCCTTCCCTCCCGTCCCCGCCGCTGCTGCCGGCCCCCCCGCTCCCTGCGGAGAGAGAACGGTCGCCCCTTCCCCTACAGCGATGGAGGAGGAGGCGATAGCGCTCCTGCTGAGGCCAACGATGGTCTCGGCCGCCCGCTCGAGCTCTCTCCGCAAGCCCTGCACCCGAGCCTCGCTCCCGGCGAGCTCGGCGCGAGAGGCGAACAGGGCCTTCCCGAGCCGGTCCACCTCCAGCTCCAGCCCCGCCGCCCTCTTGTCCCCCAACTCTTCCGCCATCCTCGCTAGCTCCAGGCCCCTGGCGAGGCCATCCTCCCCTCGCATGCCCGCGCTCTCCTCGGCGAGGGCGACCCGCTCCGCCGCGAGCATCTCGACCGACTCGCGCTCCTGCCGGCAGAAGTCGACCAGGGCGGCGCGGGCGGTGGAGGCGGTGCGGAGGCGGGCCAACGCTCCCCGCAGCTCCTCCGTGAGGCGAGAGTTGGCGTCCGCCTGGTCGGAGAGATCGGCCTCCGCTTTGCGCAGCTGGCCGAGCCGCAGCTCTAGCTCGGCTTCCAGGCCGCTCGCGGCTTGTGACGCCCCCTGTGCGGCGCGTTCATAGGTCGGCGGGAACGGTGGGGGGGGGGGCAGTTGGTGCGCCGCCATCGTGCTTCGACTACACTGAAGTAAAAACCGAGCACTGTTTTCACAGCACGCAGATCGATAAAATTATATCAAAAAGAACGTAGTACAAAGCCCGAGTCACGGACAGGATCGGGCAGCAGTGGTAGTCGCGACGCACAAGGAGCATGAAAATCTCATTTCGAAGGCATGGATAGCCAGCCTCGCCACTGCTCAACGAAAACCACGTGCGGCGCTAGACGATGGAGTTGTCGACAATACACGGGGAACAAGACGTAACAGCAGTTTGTACGCACCTGGCCAGCTTCCTGCTCCTTCGCCAGGGACGCCTCCAGAGCAGAAACTCGCTCCTGTAACTTTGCGAGAGCCCCGCTCTGCTGCCGCACCGTGGTTTCGGCCGAGTCCCTCGATCGCCTCGCCTCCAACGCCTCCCTTCGCGAGGCTCTCAACGAAACCTCCAGCATGGAACAACGCCTTCTGATCTCGTTCAGACCCCCACCACCTCCCTCGTCCCCCCCCTTCTCGTCGTCACCGCCACTCGCGTGCCCCCCGACCGGAGCTGGACCCGCAGGGGCGACTTCGTCCGAAGCAGGGTCTGGTGGTCGTTCTAGTGACGCGACTCTCGAGTCAGCAGCAACGGTAACGGCAGAACCAGCAGCTTCTTGGCGGGGTAACGACGCAGACCCGTTCGCCTTCGGAGAGGGTCCGGAGAGGGGGGAAGGAGGGACAACCTCCAAGAGGCCCTCCAGCTGAGACCTGGTGTGTCGGTGGTGGGTGTCGGAGTTAGTGCTGATGGTATCGAGGGGGTGGCGCTGTCGACCGTGCGCGTGTTAGGAGTGTAACCGCGACGTCTGCGCAGATTTCTACGGGCCTTTTGGTAATGGAGGGAAGGTACCCCGCGCAGAAGCAAGGTGGGGATTCACAAGATTTCTCCGGTGCTGCTTGTCACAGCATCACGGTACATCCGCACCGTGGGATATTCCACAAAATCGTCGAGGAAGAGCTAGGAGCAGGGAAGGAGAGGAAGCTGTACGCCCAGATTGCCAAACAAAAACAAAAGCGAGGCAACTCTGGCCAACTACGTGTGTACTAATAGCGCGTTGCAAGAAGAAAACCCAAATACTACTGGGCGTGACGCAAGACGGAGGCAAGAGTTCTCCTAGGTGCTTCCGGACACCCCCTCCAGCTGAAAGACGCTGAGGCTGTTAACCATCACCACCGTGACAACGATCAAACAAGTAGTCTTCGCTGACCTTAGGGACATCTGGAGGTCGATAGCCGACAGGAGCTGGGCGTGCTTCACAGCGCAGCGTCTTTCCGACGCCTCCTTCTCCGCCTGCAGAACGCACCAAAGCGCCGCCAGAAAAAATGAAGAGGAAAACACCGACCGACGCAGGTGCAAGAAGTCTAGGCATGCCCGCAAAACATGGTTTCACCGCTGCGGGTCCAACATATCCCCCCCCCCCCCGCTGTACAACATCTACTGCCGCTGCGCATTGTGATCTGCCGCGAAACGAATGTTGAGGCAAATTCTCATCCGGGGGCGCAAGTCAGGCCGATGGAGTAACGTACCTGAACCGCACGTCCACATCATTTTCACGGGGCGCTGGGCGGCCACTCGCATGCCGTGCGACAGATCTCCCTGGTCAACCAAGCCAAATCTCAACGCCACAAGGGAACTCGCTCACCTGCAGAGCAGACTGTCCATACTCCAGCGTCCGCACCCTTGCCGTGGCCCCTCTCGCCCGTCTCTCGGCAGCCATCGCTCGCTCTGCAAACCCGGAGATTTTCTTTTGCCCGCCCTCGGGCAGTTCTTTTGGGGCGGCCCCCTTCCCCATTCCCCGACTTCTTACGGGACGGGGGGTACGGGTTTTTTTTTTGTGTTTTTGTGGGGGGGGGGGGGGGGGGGGCGACACAGACATCGTGTGGGGCGCAGCTAAGCCAGATACGATCAGCACCACAAGCCAACGCAAGTTCCAGAGGAAGATCAAGGAAAGCCCAAACTCTCCGATACCATCACATACCCTTTTCTTCGTCCCCCGGCATGCCAAAAAAACAGGGAGGATACTCATTTGGTACTGCAAGCCTAAAAAGGCAAGAAAACACAAAAAAAAACTCCGTACTCACTTCCCTCGCCGCCGCTTCCGCCTTCGCCTGCATCCGCCGACAAGCTGCAACCAGCCCCCCGCGTTCCTCCTCCAAAGCCCTCACTCGCGCCGTCAGGGTATGGTCAACCTCCCCCGGGGTATACTGGTGATGGCCGCTGGTGTTAATACTGCTGCCATCGCCGGCGCCTGTGTACGTGCCTGCGCCCCGTCCTCCCCTCGCGCCCCATGCTGTTCCCTCAACCTCGGCAGGCAGTTGCTTCTTGCCCCCCGCCGTTGCGGTAGTCGGGACATGCGAGACGGAGTTCGGGGAACCACCCCCTCCCGCCACCCCGCTGCCTCCCCCACCGCTGTTCGATGCTGGAAGAAGCCCTTCGACGTTTGACCTGATTTGGTCCGCGAGGTAGGTCATGTAGTTGGAGGTGGACGGACCCACGCCGTTTGGTTGTGCCGTTCCACTTGCGGTTCTACTGAAGCCGGGCCTGTTACTGTCGGCAGTGTCCACTGATCCCGGCGAGCGCGAGAGGGTAACCCCCCCCCCCCCTCCTCCTCCTCCTCCCCCGTGCGCGGAGAGAGCTTGCCGGGTTGGTCTTGGGGCGGGGGCAATCGAGGGCTGCGATGAGAGGGATTGGGACAGCGCCGGGGCGGCTGCTCCAACTCTTGCCGCCGAGCTTGTCGGCCTTGGTTCCTGTGGTTTCTGTTGCTGGTGTTGTGATCTCGCCGTCAGAGGTTTGTCATCATCGGGGACAGGAGGTGGAATCCCCCCTTCCGGTGTTATCGGTGCCGTTGCTGGTGCTCGCCTGGCGTAAGACAGGTCGGCCGAGTACTTGTGCTCGAGGCGCTCGATCAGCAACCCTTCCTTCCCCGCGTACTGCGTCAGGATAGCGTCGAGGTTGGCTATCCTGCCCGGGTTGTGGACGCTGTAGAACCCCACCAACGCCTACCGGTGTGCAAGAAGAGCATTAGCACGGGGGCAGGGCGCCATCAGCAAACGACTCAACATCGCAGCCTACAAGTGGGAATACGTAAACGAAATTCCTCGTGTATTTGTGCAGCGGATGGCTGAATCGAGAGGTCAGCAACGACGCGGTACCGTATCGGGGAGGATACGAGAGAGACAGATGCCAATCTACGCGGCAAGAGTACGGTGTCGGCGGTCGAGAAAATCGACTGCTTTTGGGGTATGCGGGCTTGGTGGCCCATGGAACAAGCAGCTGTACCCTCAATTGAGAGGATGGTGGTAGACATTACCACCCGGCAAACACGCAACACAAGATTTGCAAGAGTTGCGACAGAATTCTCGCAGAGGTAGATGAGAATCAATGAGGTGGTGCTGCAGCGCGCCTTCCTTTGAAATGAGATATGTGGGAAATTCCGGGAACAAGTATCTGCAACCACTGCTGGACGTACTACATGCGGAATGAAGCCCTTCACGTGCGTGTGTCCAGACAGCGGTGCTACAAGCAGAACCAGAGCAGAACCGTGATTGACGAGGAGGTGCTCGGCAGCGTGCGGCGGAACTACACATAACGGCATCCGTCTTCCAACAATAAATTCTGGCAACGCTGCATACAGGCAAGCCTCACAAAAGTGTCTATCCCCGTTGGCAGCCATCGTAGCAGCACAAGCCAGCCGAGTACCATTTGTCTACGGGGGCGTCGCGGCTGTCTCTCGTTCGGAATGGTAGTCGCTGTTCCCGCAGAGTCCTGTACACTGCCATACACTTTCAGTACCCCCACCTTCCGAAGCTCATCAGTTTGGGATGGTGGTACAGCCGAAGGCGCTTCTTTAACTCCGAACGCCTCCGTGCCGTCTTCCTTGTCCTTTTCCTTTGTGCATGTAGTGCCTCCATCCTCTTTTGCGGCTGTCACTTGCTCCCCCTCCTCCTCCTTCACTCCGAGCACGGGATTGGATGCGGCGGAACTAACATCGACTGCAATGTCTGCGGCGGCAGCTGCTGCGACTGCTGTAGCTATTGTTGGCGGTGCCGTTGTTGTAGTTGTTGCTGCTGTTGCTGTTGCTACTATTTCTGCTGCTGATGCTGCAGGTGCTGCGGTTGCTGCGGGTGTCGATAAGGCTGATGCTGTCGCTGTTGTTGCTGACGGCGGCGGCGGTGATGCTGACGAAGAAGTTGAAGAACAAACATAAATCTCCGCAGTCTCCTCGTCGGCTTTGCTTGCTCCAGCCGCAGCTAGCTCTGGATGTCTACCGCCTACATCAGTAGATGACTCCCTCTCCTCTCCCTCCATCAACGGCGTGATGAACCGCAGCAGGCCCGCACAATGCAACAAAAGCGCACATCAACCTCACCAGATGCTGCTCCCGCTTGGGGGTGACGCGAGATCACTCATCGGTATGCACATGCCCTCCGCCCATGGTTTATCGCGATTTTGGTCTGTAGGGCCTTTGCCCTCCGTTCCTCGTTCCTGGTGGGTTCGGTGTTCGGTGCATTCGCGGTGGTTCCTTTTCACTTTTGTCCCGGTGCAGCACAAAGCACAACAGCATCACCCTCTCCACCAGAACCCTAGTGACCTTCGCAACAGGAGAAGCTTCGGAAACAGCAGGAGCCATGATCAGAGCTCGTGCCTTCGCCAGCGGCCGGAAGGTGAAAAAGTTTGCTCAACTGCTGTCGAACATCAAGGTGCAGGTAGAGGCACCTCTGTGTTTCAGCAAGCAGCATTGTTGCCCTTTGCTTTTGCTTTCGACTGGACAGGTTCAATCTGCTTTGCAATCGCTTGCAACAACTTCTGTTCGTTTCCATAGCATTGCTCTTGCTAGAGACTGCAACCGCGCGGCATTCCGTGCATGCGTAAGCACATTTCAAGCGTTTGTGCCAGCGGTGTCCAAATGATCGGTTACGCGGGACGCGACGTGGACCAAGAGAGATGAGGCTGCCCTACGATCTACGACTACAATTGTATGGAAGAGCCCTCCAAAACCTCTTTGCTCTCGCTCGTTGTTCCCGGCGATGACACCTCACAGCATAACACGACAGAGCCGCACGTGCACAGCAGTAGTTGCCAACCCTCGAGGTGACCGCGCGCATCGACTCCTGGCTCCCGTTTTAGCGTTTTTCGTGGTCGCACCCCACGGCAAAGGCTTGGCAACTTCTTGAGAAGTGGTTGAAGGTCTACCAAACAACTTCTGACTGGTGCTGTATTCCCCCATTCCTTCAAGGTGTTCATGGCGTGTGTGTGGAATTGGGCACCAGCGGTGCATATGCATACATGGCTCGTGTGAGCTCCAAAAGAATACAGCGGGCACACTGCCGCTGTGCCTCGTGGCAGGTTGTGGGACACGATTGGCCGCCCTCTACAGCAGTAGGTGCAACAGGTTCCCACGAAATGATGGGACAGATGACAGGATGACAAGGAAAATAAACTGCGGACCTCCACGCTCTTGAGAACTACAGACATGATGACGCTACAATGTATCGCGCAGAGAGAGGGAGGGAGGCCGTTGGTTGAGACGAGGGGACTGCGGGTGTCCCGATGATAAAGATTCCATGCGCGCTGCTTTGGTCTCTTGACCAGTCCGCTTACCACCCCAAGTATGTTGGATTTCCTGCCGATGAACATTTGGAGTGGAAATGCAATATATGCGGTATGTACCACCTCACTGCACCGCCGTTCATTGGCAGGACGGGCGTCGCGTCGACCGCCGTTGTCGGAAGCATATGTATGATATGTACGCGTAAGCATATGCATACATATGTTTCGATTCGAATGCTACAAATATAGATTGTTCTTTTTCACTGTATGTCCACGGACGGACGCATTCTGACAGCACTTCAGACAGCAGTTGCGCGCCCCGAACTTGTACCATGCCTACCATGCATGGTGTTATTGTACAGACAGTACTCCCGACAGCTGACGCTGTAATCGCAAACATTCTTTTTGTTTGGTAAAGTGTGGGACAGGGGGGAAGCTGCTGTAGTCGAATGTAGTGTGTGGACGGGTTGTTCAGTTTTTGGGCACGCAAAAACGTGCTGCAGGGATGTAGGTGTACCTCTTCGGGCTTGTGTACCCTTTTCTTGCTAGTTTGCGTGGTCTTTGGATCTTCTGATGGCTCTAGCATTTTTGTGACCACGGACCGCGTCTTTGCTAGATTTTGGGATTAGCAACTGACACGAGTGTAATGTGAAGACAACAACAACAACAACAACAATAATAATTGTACATGGCGACGTGGTCATCCCTCATCTCTCCGCCTTCTGTTTGTTCATGTACAACACAGACGGAAACGTCATTTGGGAATGAAGGCGATTTGAGAGTCTAGTCAGGCGTCGTCAGTAACTTACGCATACGCTGTGCACAAAACTGCTGTCAGCTTCAGTAGTGTGCGCTACTGTTACAATGTAGTTCTCGCACGGACATATATGACGCCTGGTACAATTGTGTAAGAGGTGGTTCCAATCTAAAACCTGGAAGTATACAATACCGCGCCCTATGTTCGTCGCAAAGCCAAACTTTCTGCGCTGCCGACCATATTTCCCTCATCCTTCATGTCATGATCACCCCTCCACACTGCATGGAACACCCGCACAACACTGACCACTCGACCCTACCCTTCCCTGGTGGCCGGCGACGGGATGGCGTTGTGGGTGCTTTTGGGACGTTTTCTTGCGGACAGGCTGTTGGTCGCTATACTGCGGTACGGAGCATGTCGGGCACCCCTTTGAGTGTGCTCGACCCTAAGGGTAGCCCCACCATCGACTCGTCATACGCAAGGTGCGTACGGTGGTGCTGGACACATTTCGGGGGCTCGGGGAGTGCAGTGTTAAGAACTAGTCGCATAGTGGACAGCAGAGTGAGAGCATCGTCCAGGCGTAGTCGCAGAACATTTTAAGCTTAATCGGAGGTCGAGAGAAAGATAGAAAGAAAGACGGAGGTGTAGTGCGTGGGGAAACGTACACCTGGAATACCGTAAGGTATCGATCGAGTCATCACACCCCCGTGCGGTCGTTTTTTAAACATTTTTTTAAACGCGGCGAAATTCGAAATCCCGCGGGCGGAAACCTTCATTTCCCGCCGTAGAGTTGTGCCCACACGCGACACACCACCTTTGGCTGATGGCTATTGTTTTTCCTTCTCGGGTATTGGTTGAATGGACAATGTTCAAGTTTACCGATTCAACGGAAATACTAAAAAAATGTTTTTTCATTTCCTTCATACCTCCACGTGTGGTGTGCGACGATGACATGTACATACCCATACAGCAGAGCTAACATGCCACCACTGGCATTGTTCCAGGGGTGAGAATTGCCCCGGAATCGCTGGCACCCAACTACCCTACTGTACATGTAGGTTGCGAGTCATCGCACCCCTGTGCGGTGACTCCGGACCCCGTGCGGAAATCGAATTAAATCATTTAGCCGTTTTATTGTTGTCGCATGGGGGTGCGATGACTCCGGACCGTGCGATTACTCGCAACCTTGCGGTAAGACACGAACGAGAAACATGACAGAGGGACAGGTCACAAGTTGTACTCTGCTGTGTTGTTGTATGGAAAGTTCTGCGTGGTTGTCCTCGTTTCAGCGGCACATTCCGACGGCCTTCGGTAAGCGGAGGCACTTTTTTTTGTCGGCACAGGCTAGACAGAAAGGGGTTGGCATACAAAGCGCAGCCAAGGTCGGTGCCAGCTCCTCGTTGTAGAATCGCAGGATTCTCGGCCACGAGCAACCGCGAGAATTAGCTCAACGAGACGTCCATTATTCAAATGTGAAGATTCCGCGTACCCCCCTGACCCCCCCCCACACACACACATCGCTTATCCTGGTTTGGTTGCTCTGTTTGGTCTGGCGGCCTCGAGCAGGATGGAGAAGAACATCCACGCGGCGCGCAAGACCCTCGGTCGACCACTGACCCTGTCCGAGAAGATCATCTACGGGCACTTCGACGAGCCATCCACGCTGCCCGTCCGGGGAGAGACGTACCTCAAGCTCCGGCCTGACCGCGTCGCGATGCAGGTGATTCACTCCTATGTACATTGCTATTTTTTTGTTGACCTCGTCCTGCGCTTGCCCCCGGGCCCCCTTATCTTGTCGTGCCTTGTGGATGTAATGATGTAATATGTAGTGCGGAATACGGTGTGATTCTAGACACAGGTCGGAAGGTTTTATTTTCTTTGTCTGCCTCTAAAGAACAGTTGCATGACGCAGTGCTGCCACTTGATCGGCCATGTAGATGCCGGTCGTGCGTGTGTTTGTCTCCTGTACATGCTGGTATACTTCGCCTGGGGGTTGTAGAAAACAAGTCCCCCTCCACAGCATGCCACAGATAGACCTAAACTGCTGTCCAAAGTTTCTCGCGTTCTTTGACGATGCTGTTGCCCTCCCTGGGTGGTGCAGCGCTCCTCGATTTCCCTCATGACGTTTAATGGACGAGTTACGGCTCTCGTAGTCACATGGAAGGGTCAGGCTCGACATGCATGTGTTTTTTGGCGGATGCGTTCATCGTCTAGATCCCCCTCATCCTATCATTTCTGGGTCTCACAGGTTGTATTGCTGTACAAAATACCTTCTTTGTTATTATACACACAGAAAGCATCTTCGTTCGTACCTTCCTACCATTCTCCAAAGTACCTTAAGTTTCTCTCACCTCTACCCCCCCCCTCCTACTTTCTGTCCATGAGACCTCTGACATCATCGCCCTCTGTAATAATCGTCTGATACAACCGAAACTTGCAGGACGCAACCGCTCAGATGGCGGTGCTTCAGTTCATCTCGTCCGGCTTGCCGAAGACGGCCTGCCCCACCACAATCCACTGCGATCACCTCATCGCCGCCGAGAGCGGAGCCGATTCCGACATGGCCGCGGCCAAAGTCACCAACAAGGAGGTTGGTGATTTCCGTTACTATTAAAGTTAGTGTCCGTCCGAATCAACGTGTATAGTTTTGTTTCAAGCTTTCAAGCTTTCAAGCTGCCATCACCGCCGAATCCCTTGGCGGTTAGGCCTTTCACTGTTTTGTTTTTTTTCTCTTTCATTGTTTTTTTTGTTAACACCTTATCACCACGCGTGTTGTGTGCGGTGGTCTTGCTGACGTCATCATCCACCATCCATGATCCATGATGCATAACCCAGGTCTACGACTTCCTGGCGTCTGCCGGAGCCAAGTACGGCATCGGATTCTGGAAGCCCGGATCGGGCATCATCCACCAGGTTAGTTTTCGTTGCGTACCGCCACTCCTTTTGTTGCCTGGCACAAGGGACAATCTAGCCCTCAGTGGGCCTAGACCACCTCGTAGCCTCAATGTATGTATTGATGATTGATGACACGTAGGTTGTTTATCCTGACATTCTTTTGGTTCATGAGGTTTGGCGATGGGTGGTGCCCCCCCTCCCCGGGCTCTGTCTCCGTTGCGTGTGTGTGGTCGAAGATGGAACATTGGGAGGCAGGCTCCGAATCGTTGGATGACGGCAAACGGGTGTTGAGCACCCGCGCGTTGAGCGTATCTCCAATAAGGAAGGAGTTCGAGCTCTTCTCCGTTCCGAAATGGACGCTTGCGCACTGCTCCAAGTGACAAACGATGAGCGAAGCATGAGTACCCCTACATACTCCCGTAGTCCCATCCCCCTATCATCGCCGACACTATTCTTCCACCTTGGCCTTTCGGTTCCGCAGATCGTTCTGGAGAACTACGCCTTCCCGGGAGGGCTCATGATCGGGACGGACTCCCACACCCCTAACGCGGGCGGGCTGGGCATGTGCGCCATCGGCGTCGGCGGAGCGGACGCGGTGGATGTGATGGCCGGCATGCCGTGGGAGCTCAAGTGCCCCAAGGTGCGTGTTGTGTCTTGCCTCCAGTTTACTCAAGGAAGGAAGTGTAGGTATGTCGTGTGTCTTGCCTCCAGCAAACTTCAGAAGTGGGTATGGCATAGTGGCAGGGAAGTTTAGTATTTTGTTTTTTTCGTGGGGTGGATAGGTGGTTTTGGCCAGAAGACGGAGCGGGAGGTCTTAAGGGGTGCCTGTAATCCCTCGTGGATTTTGAGGCGGCCAGGCAGTACACACAGGCATGTAGTTCAATCTCGAAACAGCACGAAGCCTGTATCGTGGGAGTGGAGTTGCCGGGGTTGGACTACTGGTGAACGTAATTTTTCCTGCTGAACGTCGCGTGTTTCGTCATTCCGGCTATAGGCTATTGCCTACCACATCATGGTAGCCTCGATCGAGCTTGAGCTCAGCTATGCTCGATGATTTCGCGCAAAAGCACGTTCATCGGTCGCCCGCGCCAAGCGAACGGTGGTGTCGCTTCTGCTTTTGCTACAATAAAATGTCCACCATCATATGCTTCAGATTTGTAGGATGTTCTCGGCCGCCTGCCGTCTCAATCACGGGAACGCTTGCCAACCACACGCTGTATTTACGTAAATCCGCGGTGATTTGTCCTCCTGTTTCAGCAATACCTTGTTCGCTTGTGCACGATTGCCCCCCCCTTGGAGTGGGGACCCTGCAAACGATCCCGCGGGGGGAAGGGCGGGGTTCCGATCCGATCATGTCTCGGGAAAACAAGGGGCAGGAGGAGGCATGATTTTTTCGGACCCCCTGGATACAGGGGACCCAACGCGGGTAGACAACGCATTAGACGGTGCACCTGAAGCGTTGTCTCAACGATCGTACACGCAGGTGATCGGTGTGAAGCTGACGGGCAAGCTCTCCGGCTGGACCTCGCCCAAGGACATCATCCTCAAGGTTGCCGGCATCCTCACCGTCAAGGGCGGGACCGGCGCCATCGTCGAGTACTTCGGCCCCGGGGTGGACTCGATCTCTTGCACCGGCATGGGCACCATCTGCAACATGGGGGCGGAGATCGGGGCCACCTGCTCCACCTTCCCGTACAACTCTCGCATGCAGGACTACCTCGAGGTGAGGGAGGAGGGCCCGGGGGACAAGGGGGGGGGGGGGGTGCTGTCTCGCGTGCTTTCGTTGAATGAGCCGCGGATTACTTGCGGGCGTGTTGTGTTTGCACGATGTATTTTACTTGATGTTTTGTTTTGGCAAGCCTGAGGCGGTGGTGTGATTTGACATGTTCCAAGGGTCACCGCTGCAGGATGCATTTCTTTGGTGTGTTTTTGACAAGACGGAGACTGGTGTGCGCTGATACATCGCAAGAGTCACCACTATTTAGCCGTGATCGTTGTTGCTTTCTTGGTGGAGAGACATGTTCGAAGCAGCCTTAACAAATGGGCGAAAGCAAGACTTCACGGTAAACGCACACGCACCGAACTCTTATAACGAAACTCGAGGGTCATTTGCAAACGTATCGTGTCTCGATGTACACGTACCCATGGCATCCGGCACGCCATCTCTCCGAACATGCCTCTACACGTCGGCACAACGGCCTCCCAATAAATAGTTTGCTAAAACGACCACCCGAAGGCCTCTCTAAAAACAGTTAGCTCAAACACCCATCCCAAACGCCTCTTCGTAATTATTTTCGCCATGATAAACCCACCCCCGCAGGCAACGGAGCGGTCGGGGATCGCGTCGGCGGCCAACTCGTTCAAGGAGAACCTCCGTGCCGACGAGGGGGCCCCGTACGACGAGGTGATCGAGATCGACCTCGACAAGCTGCGCCCGCACGTCAACGGGCCCTTCACGCCCGACCTCGCGCACCCCGTCGGGACCGAGTTCTCGGCTGCCGTCAAGGTGCGGAAGCGTGTTCGGGAGAGTCGGGGTGGGGGGCGTACTCATTTGTTGCTTGCCGTAGTCATTTGACCATGTGGGGGGGGGGCGTACTCTTATGCTTTGCATGCCTTAGCGGTTAGACCATTGACCACGCGTCCTCGAGAGGACGGAGCATTGTTCCCACAGGACCGATCACCGATGGCCAATCGTTCCTTCCTACTTTGCCAAAGGTGGCTCAAAAATGTCTTCCCTAGTCTGTCTATCCTACCGATGTCACTTCCCGCCTTTTCAAACCACTTCCTACTCCCCAGTACCGCTACCGTCCTCTCCTCTCTATTCCATGCCTCAAACATCTCCCTGTACGTCCCTTGTATTCTTCCCAGCTCAGTCATGTACACTTCCCTCTCCTTTTCGTACCACGGACATTCCGCGACTACATGAACACTGTCTTCGCATTCGAAGCCGCAATCACATTTGAACTTGTCGTCTTCGTCGTCTACCGTCCTATGTCTTCGTCGACGTTCGCGAAGGCCTATGTCCCCGGTCCTGAATTTGACCTTAAGTTTGTCCCTGCATCCATTGGTCCATGTAGGTAATCCTTGAACCCTATTCCTTCTTTCAACATTCCGTACACTTCTAGACCCTCCTTATCCTTGGATTCTTTCCTTAGATTCTGTTCTTCTCTGTCGGCACAAGCAACAGATATCTTCTCCTTGAACCCCTGTAGACCCTCCGTTTCCAGCGTTTCATCTTCGTCGATGTCCAATCCCTTCCATACGTCCTCTACAACCTTGACCCATTCCGTGGGTTGTCTACCCCTCTTTTTATTTGCCCACTTCGCCTCCCATACTATTCTCGGCAACCTCTCCTCTCCCATCCCGCACATGCGGTACTGCCATGTCAGCTTCCTTACGTCTCTTCCCGACCGTAGGGATTGGATCCCCAATTCTGCCCTGACTGCTGCATTACTTGTGCGCTTGGAGCATCCTAGGATGATTTTCGCTGCTTTCATCTGCGCCGCCTCGAGTTCTTTCACTACCTTCTTATTTCCTTCCCATACTTCTCCGGCGTACTCCAGCGGCGGTACGATTACGCTCTTCAAAACCGTCAATTTGATGCGTGTATCAAGGTGCCGGTTTGCGAGTATTGGGTGAAGCTTCCCTGCTCGTGCTTTGCCCTTTTCCGCTACCTTGGACATGTGTGCATTCCACGAGCAATCTTTTGCGATCTCTACTCCGAGGTATGTGTACTGGTCGACTACTGCTATCTCCTCGATCCCCCACTTCCATCTATGTTCTACTGGTTCCTCCCTGCCCTCGTTGCATACCATGACGGCACTCTTCGTAACGTTGGCAGACAATCTCCACTTATCAGTAAACTTCTTCGCCGCGTCAATTTGCAGTTGCAGTCCCTCAGGGGTGTCCGACATACCAACAAAGTCATCCGCAAACAGCATTCCTGACACCGAAGTTTCCGTGTCCCCTACTTTTACTCCCTTCCGGACTGCCTCTACGACTTCCAACAGATCGTTGATGAACACCTGGAACAATGTTGGGGACAGCGTGCAACCTTGTGGGACCCCTTGCTCAATGTCGAAGAATTTAGACAGTTCTCCGTCTAGCATGACCGCGCTTTTCGTACACTCTGTCATCTTCTTCAGCACCCTCCACATTTTTCCCCTTGATCCCGTACTTGGACAATTGTTTCCACAGCCCATTTCTCCATACGGTATCGTATGCCTTTTTCACGTCCAGGAAGAAGCAGTACGTCCGCTTGCCCGCCCTCTTTCTACCTTGGATGATTCTCCCTACCGTGAATGCGTGGTCTACGCACCCCCTCTTCTGTCGGAAACCTGCCTGGCCCTCACTAATGCTACGTTTCTTCTCCAATACTCCCACTATCCTATCGTTCAGCAGCTTACAGAACACTTTTCCTACTGTGTTCAACAGTGTGATACCCCTGTAGTTTCCTGGGTCAGTCTTGTCTCCTTTCTTAACCAAGTTCACAACCACTCCTTCCCTCCATCTACTTGGCGCATACTCGTTTTTCCACACCCAGTTGTACAGCAGTACCATCAGCTGGATCATCCCCTTGCCCCCAAACTTCATGAACTCGTTTACTATCCCATCCGCCCCTGCTGCTTTGTGGCACTTTGACCATGTGGGGGGGGGTGTTTCTCATGCCGTAGTTGTTATATGTAGACAATGTCGTCCCTACAATGCCGGGACGGAGCGATATGTGGCGTGTTTGCCGGCCCAGGCCACTCTTCACAAGGAATTCACCGGACGCTGGTCATCATCCTTGCAGTTGCTGTGCCAAAACCAGATGTGCCATGGGTTAGTGGGTGGGGGCTTAGCGGTCGCGTTGTTGTTGCTGATGGTGGTTGTAGATGGAGATGGGACAGATGTTCTGCAGTGGGGGAGTGGTGACTGTCTTGTTGTAGGGGGGCTCCGCAAACTGGTAGCCTCGCGGTGGGAGTTCTCACGTGCCGACGATTCTGCATGCCGTAGAACGCGGTGAGACCCTCAGAGACTAAACAAAACTCCGTACCTTCGATCGGGTCATCTTTGAATATCTGTCCAGTCGTGCGAGCGAGTCTCAACTGCCGCCGCTGCTGCTGCTCTTGATCCCTGTTTCGGCTGAAAATATACCATTTTATTTTTATTTTTTAGGGCAACGACTGGCCGGATGACCTGTCCGCCGGACTCATCGGCTCCTGCACCAACTCGTCCTACGAGGACATGGCCAGGTGACTTGTGACTTGTGTCTCTGTTGTCGTTTGTGCTTGCTGTCGACGTGATAGTGAGAGACAGGCGATTGGCAAAGCTTGCTGTGCAAGTGTGTCTCTGCGAAACCCTCGTCCGTCTTATAGGCCTGCCCTCGTCCGTCTTGTTTGCTTGGCTGCGCCTACGTGCGGTCAACCGACGGTTTTTCTTGTTCTTGCCAAGGCATGCCAAAGCAGCCCGCAGGCACGATCTACCGAGCTTGGGAACCAGGAATCATCGTGTCTATCTGTAGCGATTGGTTACTGCGGATACGGGGCCACACAGAGAGCATTCCTGTTCCCCCACCCCCCCCTCCCAATCGTCTGTTCTACTGTTTCATACATGCATTTCGCGACACAACCATTCTTAGCGCAACCCTTGCTTGGACTTGACTGGTATCTTCACGCGACATCGCGGCATCTATCGCAGGTGCGCTGACCTTACGGAGCAGGCGAAGAAGGCCGGGCTTAAGTTTAAGGTCGACATGCTCGTCACGCCCGGCTCAGAGCTGGTGAGCCAGTGGTGTGGATGGTGCAACCCATGCGAGCCAGAGCTAGACATGGTTAACACGACTAAACTTGTTTTGCTTGGACGCAACGCAAAAGCAGAGCACGATGTTAGGGGAAAGGCAGCTGGATCTCCGGTTGGCTGTATTAAACCTGACCCCGCCGTTCGATTCGCCGCTGTACTAGATGTGCCGCAGTAACTCGGTGCAGGTAGAAAGCTTAGATACCCTTCTGGAGCGGAACGGAGCAAGTAGTCACAGAGTAGCGGAGGGTTTCGCACAACAGCAGGCTTCCGCGCAGGCTCCCCGCTTATTAGTCCGGCGTGTGTTTCAGACTTTTTTGCTTCCTGGAACGGCGGTGTTGAAACCACAACGATGTGCATCGCGCGTTGCGCAGACACATCACGTTCGGAGGCAACACAAGCACCGGTTTTGATATCCCATGCGAGTCAGAGTGTTTCGATGCCGACAGCAGTGAAAGTTATCTTGCCATCATCGTGTAAAGGGTGTTTGGCTGTACATGTGGTTTTCGTGTTCAAACGACCCTTTATCCTCAAATGTTGTATTCCGCAAACGTGTATGGCTGTTTTGCTGTACGTCTGGCTTTCGTGGTCAAACGACCCTTTATCCTCAATGTTGTTTTTTCTTGGGGCCAGGTCCGCGCGACGATCGCCCGCGACGGTTTCACGTCGACGTTCGAGGAGGCCGGCGCCACCGTGCTGGCCAACGCCTGCGGCCCGTGCATCGGGCAGTGGAACCGGTCGGAGAAGCAGGGGGAGAAGAACACCATCATCACCTCGTACAACAGAAATTTCGCCAAGCGTAACGACGGCAACCCCCAGGTAAAGTAATACTAGTACAGTAATACTAGTATAGTAGTACTAGGCTAGGCTCTCCTACATGGCTGCTGCCGGGGTAGTGGTTCAAGTGGTGGTGGTCGTGCCAACCCCAACCCCTGGTTTTCCATGTTCATGCATTCCTCTGGTTGACGGTACCTCGGGATGTGAGGGTGACCGAATCGATTTACCTTCCCCCCCCCCCCACGCAACCCACTAATCTTCAAAACACGCGGCCCGTTTTTACTACTAACCGAATTCATTTTTTCTTCCGCTCATCCGCTACCCCCCCCCCCCCCCTGGCAACACAAACGACAGACGCACGCCTTCGTGGCTTCGCCCGAGATGGTGGTGGCAACGGCGCTGGCGGGCAGCGTGACCTTCAACCCCGAGACCGACTCCATCCCTACCGCGGACGGAGGGTCCTTCAAGTTCGAGGCTCCCTTCGGGAAGGAGCTCCCCGTGAAGGGATTCGACCCGGGAGAGGACACGTTCCAGGTGTGCACACAGTACGGGTCGTCCGTGGGGTTTCCATCAATGGAGGCGCACAACAAAAGGAGTTTTTTTTTTGTTTGTACTCTTTTTTGCCAGTGTCTTGTCTTGGTTTCCTCCCTCCCTGATGCCGCCGCCGTTCTCATGGTGGTGGTGTATGCATGGGTATCTTCGTTTTTCACGCCTGAGCGAACAAAAGCGTTATTTCCAGCCGACTGTTGGAGAGATGATGTTGCTCGCGGCGGATGGTTTGCGTGTGTGTTTTTGTTTGGTTTTTGGCAACCTTTTCCGCCCCTGGTTTCTTTGCCGAGTTGACGTTCCTCTGCCTTTTATTTTCGTTTTCACCATTTCATTTTGATGAGTGTTCCCTCGCCTCTCTGTGTGTGTGTTTTTTTTTTTTTTGATAGGTACGAAGGGTCTCCTCCTCACAAGATACCCCCCCCCCCACCGCTTGTATTGTTTTTGTTTTGGCAGCCCTCGCCGGAGGATGCGACGGGGCTGTCGGTGGCTGTGTCCCCCGAGTCGGCACGCCTTGCACTGCTGGAGCCATTCCAGGCGTGGGAAGGGACTGATCTCGAGGACTTGCCGGTTCTTATCAAGGTAAGTTACGGTTGAAGTTTAACCCCACTGGCGGTGGTGTTGGTTTGATCGTAATGATTTTTGTCACCGTGAAAAGTACTATAATAGCAGTTGGGCGGCCAGGAAAGGCAGTTGATGCTTGTAGGTGATCTGGTCGTATTCGGTTATACCAACGACTGTTTTTTTCGTGTGTGTTGACTCACTTTCGCGATACCCTTTGTCGGCGTTCCCATTTTCCCTCCGAAAAACAAGAAAAACTAGTGAACTAACACGGCACACACGTTATACCTCCCACGTATGGATCAAGATAACTCTTGCGACGGAAGCAAGCACGTCCTGGCGAAATCGACGGCAAAAACAAATGTCCGCGCGCACGCTCTTGTCATGAGGCATGTTTTGAGTTCTAACCGCAACGTATGTACACGCTGGCGTGTTGCAGGCAAAGGGCAAGTGCACGACGGACCACATCTCTATGGCCGGCCCGTGGCTCAAGTTCCGCGGCCACCTGGACAACATCTCCAACAACATGCTCATCGGCGCCATCAACGCGGAGAACGACGAGGTCAACAGCGTGCAGAACCAGGTCAGTGTCAGCAGCGCATGGAAAAGCACGCCATGCCCCGCGCGGGGTCTGGAAGTGCGTTGCGTTGGCTTTGACAGATTTTCGGATGCATACGTGCTTGCCCTTCTTTTTATCTTCAACGGAGGGAAGGACTAACGACCTCTTTTCCCCGTATCTCACCCGACTCACACCCCGCCCTGAACCGTAGAAAAGCAGAACCAAAGCGGCTTCGCGCCTGGAACGCCAGCAATTACCTGCACGGCACGCACACACTACCTCTAGGCGGTAACCGCGCGTGACCATCCCGACACGGGAGCACGAATTCTTGCGGCTGACGTCTCGTCGAGAAACCTAATCCAATTGGGGAAGCAGCCGCCGCACACGGCAATCTACACACGGCACACACACTTTCCACACCTCGAAACCCAATTCAAACCCACAGGTTACCGGGGAATTCGGCAAGGTGCCCGACATCGCTCGCCAATACAAGGCGGCCGGGCTCGGGTGGGTTGTGGTCGGAGACGACAACTACGGAGAGGGGTCTTCGCGAGAGCACGCGGCGCTCGAGCCAAGGCACCTCGGGGGCAGGGCTGTGGTGGTGAAGTCGTTCGCGCGCATCCACGAGACCAACCTCAAGAAGCAGGGGATGCTCCCCCTGGTCTTCGACAAGCCGTCCGACTACGACCGCATCTCGGGCAAGGACAAGTGAGCTCCTCCGAGTGTTTGGTTGGAGCGGGGGAGGTTGCCCCTCTGGCTTTTGCCCGATCCCTCTGTGTTTTCATGACCATCAGGAGCTTCGTGGTTGTTTCCGGCCAAGACACCGACGCCCCATGTCCGGGTAATTTCAACCCTGCAATCTACAGAAGAGTATAGGCCTGGGGTTCAATGAACCCCCCGTCGTCAGGAGGTCTGTGTACCGTATTGCGCACCGCAGCCTCTCCTAAGCCGTGGTACTAATCCCCACACACGACCGTCCCCCGTTTTTTGCTTCAGGGTGTCCATCAAGGGTCTCGGCACGTTCTCGGAGGGGAAGCCACTGGCCCTCGAGGTCAAGCCCGCGGACGGGGGCGCGCCGTTCGACATCCAAGTTAACCACACCTTTAACGCGGAGCAGATCGAGTGGTTCAAGGCCGGCAGCGCGTTGAACTTGATGAAGGCGACGAACGCGTCGGCGTAAGGTATTTTAGCTTCGGGGACAGGACTAGCGAGGGGGGCAAGGGTCCAAAGGAGGGTTTCCGGTATCACATCGCGGGGGGTTGGAGTCGAGGTGTCCTCTCGTCACGACCGAAGGTCGTCGACATGGGGCGGGCGGCCCGATTAGGGCCGGCGGAATCGAGCATATGCGTACGTCTAGCGAGGGGGAGGATGGAAATGTGGGAATCTAATAGGCTCATGTTTTCTTGGTGCATCTTTCACAAAGGGGGGGAGGCTGGGGGGTGGGCGAGGCATATCTCGCGGCGTCGTTTGGTAGCAAAGGGGAGGATATGGCTTGGATGTATGCTGCTCTTGGATTGGTTGCTACTCGGACCATCCGATAGGGTGTATGCATATGAGAAGGGAAGGACGAGGATCGGCGAAGTTGTCGACTCGTCATGTGCGCTTTCGATCACGCGTGTCTCCAACTTGGACGAAGAGAGTTGACGACGGGGGGGGAGGCACGCGCACCAGTGTTGCCGAATGGGGTGGATGTGTTTTGCATATGTATGTATTTTCCTCCCCGCTTGCGTATGTGTCCGCCCCGTCGAAAGATGGCCGCAAGGATGATTTTGGCGTGCGCAAAGTAGGAGGGATTCCACGCTGACGAGTGCAGGTGCTTTGCTACATGATGCGGGTCGGTTAAACGAGAGTGCTGCAATACGCTAGTTTTGTTATTTTACGGGGGGCATCAATCAAATAATTATGCACGTATGCATAGTGTTGGGGGTGGCTTCAAGGTGGTGCGCGCGTGTTGTTGGGAGAGATGCAACCACAAGAAGTCATCCCATCAACAGCAACAGAAGTGCCAGCTCCGGAGAGAGGGGTCGTTCGAGAATAGTCATTGTGTCAATTTGTTGTCGACAAAACGTAAACACAAACAAATGGTCGTGGCCCGTTTCATTTCTTGCTCTCGAGCGGCACCGACAGGGGGATGGCACCCTTGACTTTTTTGCGCGTGTGCTGAAACTGCAGAAAAAAAGACAGGTGCATGTTGGTGTTGTGTTGAGTCCTCAAGGCCGTGGTTGCGCTACGCGAACTGATCGCAGGACGTGCCAGGCATACAACGCTTGCTTATCGTACCCGGTTCAACAGCTCAATTCAGCAATCCCAACCTCCCCAAGGTCGTACATTTTGTCTCACGCTCACACAATGAAAACATTACGTTTTGTAGTGCAGGCGCGGCCCTGCTGCGTGTGTTGGATTGTTGGGAGGACAGCTTTGAGAAATATCGCATTCTATCACCCGCCCAAAGCAGTCGGGTCACTGGTGTTCTGGGGGTTACGGTGTGACTTCTTAATGTGGATTAGTTCCCATGTTTCTCCGAAGCTCCGTTTCCCTGCCTCTCTCAGGAACACCAACGATCTCCCGAGAGTACAAGCCAACCAAGCTACCGCAGCAAGAGATGTTGCATAGAAGCACCTTTTAATGCCCTTCCCGTGAGGCCGTCAAGATAAAAAAGAGCCCCAACCGCGGGGCTGTGCAACACACGAGACGGTCTTGGCGAGAGACCTGCTGATTCGCCGCATGATAGTGACCTGATGTTAGGTCAGCGCCCATCATACCTTATACGTGTACAGCGAGGAACCTACCCCGCAAGGATAGGGTTAGAGTAGAGTGATGGGAACAGGAACAGTCCTCCGGAGCCCGTGAAACAAGAGTGCATGAAGCACAAACCGTAGTGCATATCCGAGTCATGGAAACTTTTCACGACAAAATGCAAACCCAAAACAAACGTGGTGCAGCAGCAGTCAGTACGGTGATAAAAAATTGGGCGTAACACCCACTAGTTTATTGTGCTTGCGTCCAAATTCTACGAAGAACGTGCGGTCGAGATCATGACATTCAGCGGTGCGAGTAGACCCACTAACCCGACCTGAATGTCCCCGCATAGATAGGTAGTACAGGACGGGATGTATTAGTGCCAACATCTTCACGCGTGAAAGTGCGACGCCCCCAGAGTCATACCCTAATGCCGGGGTATGAAGAGCGTGCAAGCATTTTGGAGCGGCTGGAGAGGCGATCTTCAAATTGGTGTGCGATAGGGCGATGCCCGAGCAATGGGCGCAGTGGTTGAGGGCTCTTCTCGAGCACGCAGCATGCACGGGTAACCATGATTTGGTAGCAAAGTTGCTGAAAGCTGGAAGCTGGTAGATGCGCATCATGTACCTACAACAGTAGTACATATCAATTTGAATGTTTGCTGAAAACTTGAAACGTACAGCATCCATCCAAAACACTTAAAAATACTATGGCACGACTCTGTACGATACGTGCATGATTGCTGATTGGCTGTGATCCATCCAAAACAAGTGTACGGTTCGGTGTACGTTTTCTATTTGGTTGACTACACTACTACAGCCCGTGGGCATCTCATCGCACGGGCGCGTTTCTCGAAGACACCTGCTGCTCGGATTCGGCTCAAAGAAGTTGCGAATTGTAGGCAAAGGGGGCGGGAGCACGTACAATACAGCGAACATTTCCGGTCATGGCACCATTTGCGAGAAACGGGGGTGGTGGCGTTACTGGTCAAGGGGGGCCCGTGGGTGCCCGGATACGGAATGTGGGCTCAAGCGCAACATACTTCAATTTCGCCCGGTATTTCGCGCTGATCAGTAGGCACGGGCCAAAAACACACACACACGCAAAAGTTTCAGGTCTTGAAAAAAAAAGGGGCGGCGCACAGCAGTACAGACTGATACACGACTGCTGAACACTTCGCACTGACTGGCTTTAAAAATCGAAATCAACTCCGATTTGCTTCGTTTGTTTTGCATCGATTTGGTACGGGCCAGAAGAACAGGTGCGTATTTATTATTGTATCGAGGTGTCCAAACTCGAGGTCAAGATAAGAACGGGGTCCATTATTACAAATCTTACAGCTGGAAGATAAGAACTAGAGCGGTGCTTAGCCCTTTGACGAGAAAAGAAAGTTCTCGGAAACTTCCCGTATGCAACAGCAGTTTATAGCCCGAGGATCGACTGGTGGGTGGGTGGGTGGCGAGGATGGCGGAAGCGTGACCTTTAGAAGCTATATGCCTTACTGGTTCGACCCGCTTCTTGCTGTACTTTTTTTTGCACCCCTCCAAAGTAAAGCTAGCATATAGCCATGAAGCTAACTAACCCTATCCCTAACCCTAACCCCAACCCAACCGAAAAGACCCGACCCAAACCTATAGCATTGGGAAAGTGCTGGATCACTGTACCACAAGCAAGCCTAGGCCGCGGCAAGCCGCGGCGCTACCTAGGTTGCGTCAGCGCTAGGTTGCTGCACGGGCGCTAGGTTGCTGCACGGCCGAAAAGCTAGGTTGATGTACCGACCGAGTTAACGTTCTAGGTTGCTGCTGTACCGTTTAGGCTAAGCCGCGGCGCAAGAGTGGCGAGGGCTACGTTGTAGGGCTATTGCTGTAGGGCTAGGCTGCTGTGCACAGTTAGTGCTAGGTTGCTGCACGGTGAAAGCCTAGGGTGTCACTACTGGAGGTGTGCACAACAGAACCAGAACAATAACGAGAATATTCCGGGAACCTTATGGAACCTTAGGTTCTCGACAAATGGGCAAGCACTACTACTGAAGAACTTCGGCGACTTCGGCGGGCTACCTCTATTTGCACGACCTACTTGCAAATAAAAGCTTGCGCGACTCGAACGCTTCGGCGGGTGGCGTCACCCCCTCCCCCCCTCCCAGTATTTTTTACACAACAACAGGGGGTAGGCACCGAAAATCAGCGGACCAGGAGGGGGGGAGGGGGGGGGTGTACTCATAGTCGTGCATGCCGTACGTAGTCGTTAGACCATTGACCTCGCATCCCTACGAAGCCGGGACGGAGCACGCCGGGTTCTCACCGCGGACCAGGCTCTCACATCACCAAGCGCGAAGCGCCGTGAGGTATTTGGCGAGTCGCATGAAGGGTGAGCCGCATCCTGCTAAGGGTGTTCGGCATCTTGTGCTTACTTCCTTGCGTACGGATGACAGCTACAAGTACGTATGACTTAATTTATTTTCTGGTGCTTTCACTTCCAGAGACAGTTAGTTGTAAGCACTGTGTAACTGCCTCGAGGATGCTTGACCATTTTTTAACACGACGTTGTGCGATCATCCCCCTTGCGCGGAGTGAGGTTTCTCCACCCCGCACAACATGATCTACTCGACCACCATCATCATGTTATATATACATATACTCACAGGATGGTCGTCGTGACGTGATACATTTCTTGTTATTAGTAAGCGTTAAGGAGAACCCGATTCGCAGGGTATCCGTCGATTGACTTTTACCAGAATCGGTACACACACCTTCGCATATGGCGTCAGCGGCAGGATACTGGTTCGAATCTCCTTGGGTGCACGTTTTTTCTCCTGACTTGGACATTTTCTGATGGACACCATGTGTGTCAGTCCTGAGAACACCTCTTGGAATCGATCCTATAAAGAACCTTGTGACACTTCCATCGAATTACCCGTCCTGGCCACAAGAGGTTCCCAGTTGAGGGTAAATTCTGTGGGTGGAGAGTGTTAAGGAGGACCCGATTCGCAGGGTATCCGTCGATTGACTTTTACCAGAATCGGTAGGTACACCTTCGCATTAGTATGGGAAAAAAAAAAAAGATGGCTCGATTTTTGTATTTCTACAGCAGTATGGACCAGACGCCGACTGTACATAGAAGTTGTACGAGTGTCGACTTAGTTGTGCTGTCACAGCATCTTCCACGCACTTCTGCCAGTAGTGCTGGTTTGTTGATTGGAGTCTTGTAGGTCGAGATACAGCCGTGAGATTCTCAGGTTGTGGAGGCAAAAGTGAACCAGAGCAAAAAATTGCATGCATAGCTCGATTACTGCTGCTGCTGTGTTTTTGCTACAGCAGTAGTATGGACTAGACGCCGAACGACGTCCGCGTACTACGGCAACGACCTAACTGGATGGGATACTTCCTGTCACGGCGAACCATAGTACGATGCGATGCAAACATCCGTTCGTGTGTCGCGCGGCTGCCACATGTATGTGTCGACGACAGGTACACGTAGAGCTCTCGCCATGTCGTTACCGCGCAGGAGGACAGTAGTACTGTACATAGATGTCGTAGGAGAGTGGAGTTGTACTGTCACGGCATCTGCCACGCACTCTCCTACCGGTGCTTGCGTCGATTGGAGTCTTGTAGGCCGAAATACAAGAGTGGGATGGGTTCCCGGGCTGTGGAAGCAAACCTGCCTGAAACAACAGAGAAGGCGGTGTTCTATATAAGGTATCCCGCTCAACTTTTTTTTTTTTGCGACGTGTGGTGAAAGGTAAACTACGCGGGGTGCAGCAAGCATGTTCTGGACGTTAGTTGGGGCACTGGGTAGTCGGCCGTGTTAGGCCGAGAGAGAGAGGTTGAGAGAGAGTTGGAGAGAGAGTGGGAGAAGGAAACTTGATTGGAGAGAGACGGTGGTGGTGGTGGAGAGAGAGAGAAGAAGAGCGCAGCACGCACGCAAGCTTCATCGCACCAACCACGCCAAAAGGGTCCCCGTGACTGCACCGATGGTACCCTGCAACACACGAAATTCCCGACACGTATCCCCCTGGGATCCTCACTACCAGATACTGCTGCGAGTATATCTAACATCCCCCCTGCTCGCAACAGTTACTCACTGAAAACTTCGCGAACACTCGATATCTCAACCAAAATACATCTTTCCAAGAATATATGCCATCAAGACTCGACCAGAATAACATAAGAGAGAAAAACAATTCAAAGTAAAGGAACATGAATACTGCATCGCGCGTAACAAA